AGTTAACTATTTTTCCAGGCATTTTCCAATCCTTTTGTTAAAATTAGGACAATGGCAAATTTTGATATTTGTAAAAATGTGCCAGGCTAATAGGATAGCGAAACAAAAGGGATATAGAATAGATGCATGTGATAGTAAAATGGCAGAAATAGATACTTTGTTCCACTTTTCAGCTGAAGAGACTAATAAAGCGGAAATGATGACAGAATTCAAGAAAGATATTACAACAGATAAAAAATGGCATATTCAAGAAATAGCCAAACTTGAGACAAGCACACAGGACCAGATGGACTGCACAACAAAAATTCAAAAAAGGAACCAAGAAAGCAATAGGAGAAGTACAAACAAAGACAGAAATTGCCAGGGAAATTCAGGAGGTCTGGCACTCTGTACAGAAAAAGTAGAGTTGACCTTTTGGGTCCAGAGACCCTTCTTCAGAACTTTTTATTTTAGATTTTCAGTATTCACAGTTCTTTGTTTTATAATAGATGTAATTTTACTATCCATTATTGATATTAGGATAAAAGTGCTAAAGGATTGGAGAACAACAGATTTAAACACCCACCTTCGTAAGAGGAGACAAAACTAAAACAATAGTCTACATACCCCAGTGGTGAAAAAAAAGCAATAAAAGTAGTCAACATGAATTTCAAATAGGAAGGTTTGTTTAAGTAAACTTATTAGGTCTTCTTCCAGGGAGTAGATAGATGCAATACTGTGGGCACAGTAGTGATGGACTTTCAGAAGACCCATAGTAAAAGGTGCCATATATATGAGTCAGGGCAAAGATCAGCAAGCAAGTAGTCATGGGTAGTTAGCAGAACAGTTTGAAAGGAGGCAGAAAAAGGATTTAAAACTTTCTCAATAGGTACGAGGATCTGTGCTGCCACCAAAGTGGGTTACACAGGAACAAGAGTAGAACACGAGGGCCTTTCAAGCATACTCTGCCCTTCAGTAAGAATTTGGCTTATCTGATTTTAGCTCAGTTCTATATTCCTGCAGATCCCAACAATCTTTCATTCCCTTGTTAATCAAAAATCTATCTACCTCTGCCTTAAAAATATTTACATGGATTTTGCATCTTCTTGTGTTTTAGAGGAAGGGAATTCCAAAGACACAACCCTCAGTGAAAGAAAAAAGACCATGAAAATAAATTATTTTAAATCTGGAACTACAGAGAGTGCTGAATTTGGAGAACAAAAGGACTAAACTAAAATACAGCAAAATGTAAATGACTCAAACAATAGATGGTTTAAATGGCAAATAGAATGTAATTAAGTGTGACATAGTTGCTTTTTATTAGGAGAAAAAAGGAGTCACTTGAGCCTTAGAATTTAAGAAACTAAACAGTTTAGAGCAGAAGGCTAGGAATATAGCAGATATGCACATCCCTAAAAGTTTCCTTTTTAATTTAGTATAATCACTTAGAATATTTTGTTACAGGCACTAAATTAATTGAAAAGTCCTTCCTCTCATCTGGATATCTAACTTCTGGAATACATACTCCACAGCTAAACCTCACTGGTGAAATCAATTTATTAAAAACGGAAGAAACCTGGAAGCGTGCAATTAAACGCTGCTTGGGACATCAGACAGAGATTCACAAGTTATTATCGTGTAGGTTGAGATGCTATTTGGCTGATGAACAGAAAATCTAGATTCTTTTGTCTTATGTTATCATCCCAAACTTTGGCAATAGTACATTGTTTGAAAAGAAATACTGAATGCTTTCTTCTTTCAAAGAAGGCATCCTTCAATAGTATATACCCATCAGGTCTCTCAAAGGAGGGCCACTTTTGTACTCAGGTCTCTGCTATGCTAATATAACTTGGGGCATAGGATAGTCACATACGTTGAGACAATGAGTTAAGGAAATTCACGGAAAACATTTTCAGGTTGAAGAGATATTCCTTGTCAATCTTCACAGAAAGCATGTTAAGGGAATGGACATGGTAAATCCAGAATATTACTTGACAACTGTGAGAAAAGGACAAGAGATCAGAAACTCATGGAACCATTTGTATAGCATGGAAGATAGCTATTTGGTCCAGAGTCTGAACTGCCTCTTTCAAATGGCAAACCAGTTAGTCCCATTTGTTCACACTTTTCTCTATAACCCGGCAATGTTTCTTAAGTTTATCCAATTTCCATTTGAAGACTACCCAATCTGTTTACTCCACTCTTGCAGGCAGTACTTTCCAAAATAAAAACCAAAAGAACTGCAGGGTCACTGAACCTGAAACATTAACTCTGATTTCTCTTCATAGATGCTAGACCTGCTCAACTTTTCCAGCAATTCCTGTTCTTACTTTCCAAATCCTAACCACTTTAATAAATTGTTTTTTTTTCTGCATATTGTCTCTGGTTCTTTTGTCAAATGCTTTAAATCTCTGTCCTTGGAATCTTGGCTCTTCAGCTGATGTAAATACACTTTCTTTAATCTTCTGAACAATTCATGATTTTCAACATTGTTATCAAACGTACTCCTGGACATGGGGTTGGTTAGCTCATGGCTCAGTTGGCTAAACAGCTGGTTTGCAATGCAGAGTAACACTAAAAGCCTGAGTTCAATTTCTGCACTGGCTGAGGCTGCAATGAAGGACTCTCCTCCTCAAACTCTCCTCTTGCCTGAGGCATGGTGATTTTCAGGTTAAACCACCACAAGTGAGAGAGTCAGGACTATGGTCTGGCAAGGCTGTGGCAATTTTACCTTTTACTCTTGCATTTCTCTGCTCCAAGGAGAAAAAGACTAGCTTCTCCATCTCTCAAAGCCTTCATGTTCCTTCTAAATTGAAGTTAGACATAATACACCAACTGGGGTGGAACTAGTATTGTATACAGAATTAGGATACTTTGCTGACTTTTGTACTCTGTACCTCTGCTTTAGGTGAAGGATTCCAAGTGTTATTCACTACTTTGATAAACTGTCCTGATACTTTCAAAACAATAGACAAATGTCCTCAGATTTTTTCTTGTAATCTTTTGAAAATTAAATAATTTAGCATGAATTGTCTAAAATCAATCTTCATACTAACATTTGATCTGAAATGGCCAGTTAAGTAGTTTTCTTTCTCACACATTAGTGATCAATGTATGGAATAACTCACTGGGGGCAAAAATCCAAGATTTAGTTAATAAAGTATTGGATGATGCAATGTGAAGACTACAAGATTTACTGAGGGAATCAGTACACAGCAACAGGAATAGGTCATGAGGCTTCAGGAGCCCATTCTGCTGTTCAGTGAATTGATTTGCAACCCTAGTTCATACAATCTCACCTTTGCCTCAGACTGTTAACTAATTGCATTAATCTGTTTAAAAATTAACAAAGGATCTAGCTTCAATTGTCATTTGAAGAGGGGCAAACTTCTAATATCTCTTCAACGAAGAAGTGTTTACTAATTTCTCTGGCAGCTCATTCCATACGCACACCACCCTCTGTGGAAAGAGATGCCCCTCAGGACCCTTTTAAATCTTTAACCTCTCACCTTAAACCCATGCCCTCTAGTTTTAGACTTCCCTACCCTGGGAAAAGACCTTGGCTATTCACCCTATCTATACACCTTGTGATTTTGTAAATTTCTACAAGCTCACCCTTGACCCTGCTACACTAATGGTAGAAAGGTCCCATCCTACCCTTCCTGCCTCTCCATTTAACTCAGACCTTCCAGTTTCAGTAACATCCTTTTTATCTTTTTTGCACTCTTTCCAGTTTAATAACAAACTTCCTATAGCAGGCAACCAGAATTGTACAAATGACTCTGACTAATATAACTCCCCAAAGGTTTGTCAGTTTTTTGTGATTATACCCCTTCCCCAATCCTAGGCTTGGCAGTCTATGAAAATAGTTTATCTATCCCCTTAATATCTAAACTTCACTCAAAGCACCTCTGACTTCAAGTCCTTATTGTGTAAACTTAATTTAACCCCTTAGAAGCCTAGGTAACATTCTGTTAATATCCTCCAAGCCATAACACCCTTTTTAAAAATGTGGTGGTCAGAACTGCTCACAGTACTCCAGGCAAAGTTTAACCAGGACTAAGTGTAACAAAAGCATGACTCAGACCTCCATGAATTCTGATCCTCTGGTTACAAGAGCCAGTTTGCTAACTTTGTTTTCTATATCTGTTCATGACATTTTAATGATCTCAATACCTGCACACCTGTCACAGACTTCTTTGGATCAGTTTTTCCACCATTCTAAGAGCTTTGTATTTTATCCACTTTTAGTCACAAATGAATGAAGCCACACTGAACTCCATAACTTTACCCATTCAAGTAATCTTTTAGCATCTCTGTAATGTTATGCCTTAAACTACATGTCATTGTACAACGACTAAAGTACGATGCATAGCTCTCCATCCCTCGAGTTATTCAGGGAGTGACTTGTTGAGGCTGTGACAAGGTGAAGCAGCAAACAACCTCTATGGGCAATAAACCAACGAACTGCAGATGTTGGAAACAGAAACAAAAATAGAAACGGCTGGAAAAAGTCAGCAGATCTAACAGCATCTGTGGAGAGAAAGGAGAGTTAATGTTTCGGGTCCAGTGATCTTTCTTCAGGAACTATAAGTTTTTGCTCCATGGTCATGTAGAGGAGGTGGGGAGGGGGGGGTGGATGCCCTTAATAAATTCACCAGGGGGAATCACATTTACTCGACAGTATTAGCAAGTTGGAAGGCACTAAACGGCCAAAGTGAATAAGCACATGAGAGAAAAAGAAAAGGGAAGGGAGATCGAGTGAGATCAGTAAACTCATATGAAGCATAGATGTCAACTTGGGGCAGTTGTTGTGGCCTACATGGACTGGGAAAATGCGGTTCTCTAATCAGCCTCTCAATCGCTTCGGGCTTTCCGAAGCTCGGGTGGGCTGGTTTAGGAACACAGGGAAGGGTGGGCGGCTATGAATGTAATTCTGGACAAGCGAAACATATAAAAAAATGGGGAGAAACCTGACAACCGAAAAAAAACTGGCGCGGATGGTGTAAGCGATAACCTACTTTTTGCAGGGGATGTGGCCTTTCCTTTCCTCCAGGACGCGGACGCGCTGGTTTTTGCCATCGTATGAAAGAAGTACCCGATTGTTCCTGCCCGTGTTGTGGTCGTAAACGACGGCCCTGCCTTCCCATTGCTCCGGGGCCTGGCACGGCTTGGGCTGCACGTCAGTTCGGGGGATGCAGAGGGCCAGGCCGAGGCAGCAGAGCAGCGACACGAACCGCTCCATCACCAAACCTGCGCGTGCCATCACCGAGCTCGGACGTTCTCCACGATTTGGAGTCTAACCGCCGCCTCGCGTGACCCTCACGTCACCGTCCGCGTGACCAGCGCCACGCGCGGGCCAGGTGGTCACTCAAATGGTCCGGTGCTGAACGAGGCTCTTCTGCCCATTGCTGCTTGCTCGTCAAGTGAGTAGTGCCCATCTCCTGCTTTATTTCTCACCCCCCCCATACCCTTGACCCTTTTGCCCCAAATCATCGCCTCATGCCTCAATCGAATCTGCCTCCACCACATTTCCAAGTGTTTTTCTCACTTTACCCTTGCTTCTACTGCACGTCATTTCAAATCTATGCCCTCTAGTTCTTGATAACAAGGTGTGGAGCTGGATACCTTGTTATCTCAGACTCCAGCATCGGCAGTTCCTACGCCCTCTAGTTCTTCTTCCTTTTACAGTGGGAAAGTTTCTCCCTGTCTACTCAATCCAGCCCACATATGACTTTGAAAATCTTCGTCAGAGCTCCTCTTAGCCTTCTTCTCTCTCTCCAAGTCGAACAGTCCCAACTTCTTCAATCAGTCCTCATAACACGTTCTTACCATTTGAATCATCTTGTAAACCACTGCTGCAATCTCTGGAATGCGTTTACATGCTTCCTACAATGTCGCACCGAGAAGTGTACACAGTACTCCAACTGAGGTCTAACACGTGTTTAAGTTGGACATCACTTTCTTGCTCTTGTAAACTGTGCCCCTCTTAAGATAGACAAGGATTCCAAATGCTTTATCTATTTCTCTTCCCACCTGTCCTGACACTTGCAAATTATCTGTGAATATATACGTCCAAATCCCTGATCATGGACCTCCTTCCTTAGAATCGTACCCCCTATTGTCTTTCAGTGTTTGTTTTACCAAAATGCATCACCTCATGCATATTTGAACTGCAACTCACCTGCTACCTATCCACCCACTCTACCAACTTTCTATGTCCTCCTGAAGTTCTGCATTGTCCTCCTCACTGTTTAAAATTCTTCCAAATTTTGTGTTATCTGCAAACTTTGAAATTGCCCCTTCCACACCAAGATCTAGATCATTATCGTATATCAGGAAAAGCAAGGGTCCCAATATCAACTACAAACATTTGTCACACACCCAAGTGCAGAGATTGATCCAATCTGCAAAGTACTGGACCACCTTCAAATGATGGGCTGTTATTCTCTCTCTACTGTTTTAATTCAAAGTAATATTTTATTTTTAAAAATTCTTTCCCCCCCCCCATCCACTAACAGTCTCAAATAATACTTTTTTTTTGCATTCTGTGTGACTGGGTGTCAATGGCAAAGCTGCCATTTATCACCCATCCCTTGTTGCCCTTGAGAAAGTTGTGCTGAGCTCCCATCTTGGATCTTTGCAGTTCATTGGTGAAGGTTTTGAATACAAATTGGGCTGACAATTTGCATAGTATATTGAATGTCTGTTAGATAAGGAGTTCCAGATTTGACCCAGCAACAGTGAAGCGATGGTCAAACGTGCCCCAAGTTGAGATGGGTGTTAAATTTGAGCTTGTGCTATCACCAAGTATCTGTTGCTAATGTTCTTCAAGGTAGTGGAAATTTTAGGTTTGGTGGTTTTGTGAAAGAAGCTTCTAAAGATTTCTCTATTGTGACCTATACTGCGCATTGCAATGGAGGAGGGAGGCGGATACTTAGGCTAACAGATGAAGTGCTGATCAAGCTAGTTGCTTTGCTTGGATGGTGTCAGGCTCCTTGAGTGTTGTTGGAAGCTGCATTCATTCTTACAATCGGAGAGTATTTCATCATGATTCTTACATATAATATTGGAGAGTCTTTGGGGAATCAAGTGAGTTTTCTTGTCACATATTACCAAACTGGCCTTATTAACTACCTACCAATATTTCCTCTAAACTGTGTGGCTATGCCGCTTCAAGGTTCTGCACACATCAGTAAGCATCAAAACACAATGGTATCATTGACTTTTGGTTCCGGATTCACTGTTGCACATGCACCTTGGAGGGCTGCACAGCCAGAACGAAAATGAGAGGAAATGCTGCTTCCTACGCATCCCACGAGTTTGGATGATGCCACCTTCCAAGACAGTGCTGCTGACCAGGCTTCCTTCTTCCATAACCATGGTTTCCCGCTCACTGTGGTTGACAGGGCCATCAACTGCATCTGATCCATCACCTGTGCTTCTGCCCTTGCCCCTTCCCTTCACTCACAACAATGTGATCACTTTTCATCCCACCAGCCTCCGCATTCAAAGGATCAATCTCCGTCAATTCAGACAACTCCAGCAGAAAGCCACCACCAAATACATCTTACCCTCACTCCCTTTGGCTGCATTTCGCAGGGGTTGCTCCCTCTGGGACACCCTAGTCCACTCCTTGACCACCATCACCACCCCACCTTCCCACGGCATCTTCCCATGTAACCGCAGAACCCTTCACCTCCTCCCTGCTCACTATTGAAGGGCCTGAAAGTCTTTCCAGGTGAAGCAGCATTTTACCTAAACCTCCTCTTGTATTTGCTGCACCCAATGTGGACTACTTTACATTGGAGAAACCAAACTCAGACCGTGTGACCGTTTCACAGAATACCTCTGGTCAGTGCGCAAGCATGATTCGACCTTCTCATAGCTGGACTTTTTAAGTGACCTGCTCACATGCCCACGTGTCTGTCCTCAGCATGCTGCAATATTCCAGCGAATCTCAGTGCAAACTGCAGGAACAATATCTCACCTTCAGACTAGGCACTTTACAACCTTCTGGCCTTATTATTAGAGTTCAACACCTTCAAATTGTGAACCCACTCCCATTCCTTACTTTTTTTTTAGCTTTACTTGTTACATTCTCTGTCACCATGTCCTCTCTCCCTTCCCCCCACCTCAGTGGGATTGTCTGTTCTTTCCAGTCTGGCAGTTAGACACAACATTGTTCTGCCATTGTCACATTCCAGTCAGTTAATCTGAAATATTAACATCCTTTCTCCCCCAGCACTCCACCCTCCCCCTTCCACACTTCACATCAGCTCCGATGAAGAGTCATCTACACTCAAAATGTTAGCTTGATTTTTCTCCATGGATGCTGCCTGACCCGCTGCGACCGCCAACATTTTTTGTTTTCAGTACAAATTCCAGCATCTGCAGTAATTTGTTCCCCCATGATGTCTTACATTCGATTCAAACACCATCTTACCACACAGCATTCCCAGAACAACCCACCACTGGAATTAACGGGGATCCCTTGTCAGTTTGGTGCTACCCTGCACAGCTTCTGACATTTGCCCAACACATAGTGAACAGGGAAGTCAGTGCCCCAATTTGCCGGCAGGGACCTGGAGGTCCTCTTGGACCTGGTGGTGGAGAGGCGGGAGGTTCCTCTTCCATCAACATCAACAGTAGAGGGCACAACAACAGACCATCCTGGCCTAGTCAGAGCAGTCTCACCCACCTGGTGAAATGCCCAGCACTATAGGAAGAAAGTCAATGTCCTTCTCCAGTCTGCCAGAGTACATGCCACTATCTTCTCTCTGACCTAACACTCACCTTACCTCTGCTACTTGTATCCTCCTCTCACCAAGGATCATGACCTACCATTGTCACGCACCCCAAACCCCAATGCCACTAACCCTGCATGCCTTCTGTGCTGCCTGCTTGCTCAGAAAATAACAACTGTGCCACCACTTCCATCTCCTGTAATTCTCTCATTCAAGAAGAAATCAACCTTTAGTAGTGCAGTAAGTGGTGGGCTGCCTGACATTTGGCTCTTCACCTCTTGTATGGAAAGCATTCTGATTCTGACCACCTTGAGTCCCAGCCCCTGGATTGGTCTCAGAGGCTACCCTTGACATACAGTGCCAGGACCCCCTTATTTTACTGGGACCTATTGACAACCATGACAAGCTTCCTGCTAAATGGCAAAACAGAAGTAATATGAAGAACCACCATTGTTGACAGGGTCCTTATCTGGGTCTGACCCATCTCCTGCACTTCTGTCCCCACCCCTTCTCTTCCCTTCTGCAACAGTGATAGGGTTCCTGTTGTCCTTACCTACCATCCCACCAGCATCCACATCCAGAAGATCATCAGACAATATTTCTGCCACCTCCAGCAAGATGCCACCACCAGGCACATATTCCTCTCCCCTCCCTTGTCTGCATTCTGCAGGGACTGTTCACTCCGGGACACCCTAGTCCACTATTTCATCACTCCCAACACCCCCCACAGCCCCACGGCACCTTCCCCTGCAAGCGGCGAAGGTGTAACACCTGCCCATTTACCCCCTTATCCCCGGTAGTCAAGGGCCCAAACATAACTGCTAGGTGAAGCAACACTTCACCTGCAGTCCCAGAATCCAGTCTACTGCTTTTGCTGCTCACAGTGTGGACTCCTGTACATTGGAGAAATGATGCGTAGACTGGGTGACCACTTCGCAGAACATCTGCGTTCTCCTCTCAAAAAAGACCCTGAGCTTCCAGTTTCCTGCCGCTTTAACACACCACCCTGTTCCCTGGCCAACATCTCTGTCTCAGGCTTGCTGCAGTGTTCTAGTGAAGCCCAGCGCAAGCTGGAAGAACGACACCTCATTTTCCGCTTGGGGACCCTGCAGCCCCCCAGACTCAATATTGAGTTCAATAATTTTAGGGCCTGAACTCTCCCATGTTCTGGCCCCCTACCCCACGCACCAGGCCTTGTTATCACATAACCCGCCATTACACACTACCTATTATTAGTCACTAACAATCCCCATTAGCAGCTATTCACCCTCATAGCTCTCTCTCATTCACTCTCTCTTTGGGCTCTATCCTTTATCCTATTGTTTACTCCCTACCCGATCCCCCTCCCTATTTGCTGCTTATAATGCAACATTTTCCTACTGCCATCAGTTTTGATGAATGGTCACTGGCTCTGAAACGTTAACGCTAATATTTTCTCCACAGATGCTGCCAGACCTGCTGAGCTTTTCCAGCAACTACTGTTTTTTGTTCCAGAAGTAATATGAGCCTGGTAGCTCTGGCTGAGGATCAAAGCACACAAAGTCAGTGCAAAGCAGGAATGTTGTGAGCATCCAAAGTTAGACTCAGAGT